TGCTTATGCATGTGCCAATTGGTTTTCTATTTTTTTTTATTTTTTTATTTTTAGAATTAAGAAAAGATAACATGGATAATTATGTTCCATAAAAATAGGACCTATTATCTAATTTGTTTTTAATTTTAATTTTTTTAAATATGAAAATGTGAATTTATCGGGTAGTTATGTTCCATAAAAGTAGGATATATTATCTGATTTTTTTTAATATGAAAAAATGTAAATTTACCATATTATCCTTATTTAATTAATAATTTCAATTCTTAAAGTGTGAATTAACCAAGGGTATTTTCTGGTATTTTGAATGTTTTACCATTCTCTACCTTTTGCTTTATATATATAGATATATTATAATATATAATATTATTATAATATACATATATACATGTATAAACACATATGTCATATATATTTTCTATGTGTGTATATATACATATATTATATATATATAAGTAGTTATGTTCCATAAAAGTAGGATATATTATCTGATTTTTTTTAATATGAAAAAATGTAAATTTACCATATTATCCTTATTTAATTAATAATTTCAATTCTTAAAGTGTGAATTAACCAAGGGTATTTTCTGGTATTTTGAATGTTTTACCATTCTCTACCTTTTGCTTTATATATATAGATATATTATAATATATAATATTATTATAATATACATATATACATGTATAAACACATATGTCATATATATTATATATGTGTGTATATATACATATATTATATATATATAATATAAAATACATATATACACATACATAATATATGTATTTATACATATATATACATATATATAGATAGTTTTGAAAAAATAAAAAAATCTAGTCCTAGTCCAAGCATACACCAAATGCATAATAAGTGTTATCCAACTTAGACCAAGCCAAGCCTAGCCAAGACAATCTCTAAGCATAGTCCATACCAAGACAGTCATGTGTAACAAACGAGCCCTTCTACTCATTCTTGACCTCCCGTCTTCTCCTCTGCTTGTGGTATTCTCTCTGTCAACTTTACATTACTTCCTCTCGACTTGTATTGTGCTGGGATTTCTGTTTTTGTTTATTTATTTGATCCTTTCTTTAAATCCAGCTACGAATGAACTCATGTTGTTTAAGTTGTGCAAGAGATGATGAATGTACCTCAAAATAAATGGTTGGAGCATTCATACCAGCAACTGTGATTGGTGTACTCATCAGCCATGTGGTTCTTTGATGAAGTGGATAATCACATGCTTTCCAAATTCACAAACATGTGGATCCTCAAATCAATATACGCTTTACTTTCCGTGGCTAGTGAGAGTTATCTTGATTTACCATTGTGAAAAAAAAAGGAACTTAAATCAAATTAAATCAAATTACACTGGCAAGCCCAATGTCGTGTCCCCAAAAATTAATTCATAACAACGCAACTCATAACAAAAGCGGGATTAATATTGAATGAAATTTAATAAATTTATTCTATTTTCTTATATTGTTTAAAAATCTTCCCTGTTATGCCACATGACTCTTCTTCACTACCCAGGATTCATCCTGCCTCATTTACGGAGCAAATTTTCTATGGTGCTAGGATGATGATCAAGCAAGTGTTTTATTGTTCTCGGCCCGACTGCCATGTCCGTGTTTTAGTCTGGAGGACAGAACCAACTGGTTTGAGGCCTCAGCGTATCAAAGGCACAGCCTCTCTCAAGGTTTGGCTGCCACAGAGTCTGAAGATAAAGCTTGCATGGTGAAAAAAGCCAAGCTACTCTGGCCATGGAGAACGTGACCAAAAGTGAGCAAACAAAGCTTCCCATCACGGAGCTAGTCACCTGCAACTGCAGATCTCTGCTTGCACCCTTGCAACTACTGCAGCCTCTTGGTTCCCCTTTCCTCCCGACCAAATTAGCGTTGCAGTTAAGGACTGCTTCTGTAAGAACTATTTTAACTATTTTGGTTGAATTGGACCTGTTACCACTACTAATAGATAACAGAAAAGTGTATAAACACATTTTGACATGAAACCAAGACACAGAATACTTCCCATACGACCTGATGAACTTTGGGTTTGCCAACTGAACTAATGGGTCAGCTAGATAATACAACCATAAACCTACGAGATGTTATGCTATTCCAGGTAATATTTGAACAAACTGCTACTAGTCAAACTGCTGCCGAAGCTGCATTTCAGTTTCACTTTTCCATGTACCATGAGATGACTGGCCCTTCATCCTCTTACTCTTCTCCTTATCTTTGATGGTAGATCCCTTCTTCTTGGAATCGTTGGTTGTGTCTACAGGACGATCACCGCAAGCTGGGCAGACCATTCCCCGTCCATTGGAGTAGGTCTTGGGTATTCCACATTGCAAACACATCCTATCAGGAGAAATATTTCAGATTAGCAATTACGGGGCCAAATACGTGACTAATACCCAACCAAAATACCTGCTGCACTGAAAAATAAAAATAACAATAATCTAAAACAGCTATATGTCTTTCAGAACTAGCAGAACCAAGAAAAGAAAAAGATTCAGAAAAACAAAAACAACACAAGCAAACAAACAAGGGAGTGGGGAGTAGAAACAGCAACAATAACCTCAGAAGCTCTGCAGCATCCTCTGCGCTAGGATTCGTTGCAGTTGGCAGACGCTTGCCACCTTGAGCCATGCTTGTAACTATTGATGTTGGAGGTTGGTTACCCGCAAAATCACTTCTTACTCGTTCATGGATTCCAACTAACTGAGCTTTGGACTCCACTACAGCACCTGTACACAGTTTTAACAAGAGTCTGAACTGCTGCAATAGAAAATAAAAAATAAAAAGGAAAACATTCATTTGCAGAAAGACGTAAAAACCAAATCATTATTAGATAATGATACACAGAGAAACTATATGCATAATAATTTTAAAATTTTGATCAACAG